GGGTGGGGGGGAGGCCTGAGTTTGCTGTGGAGGCACCGTGGGGGGGAAGGGCAGATCTGAGCGGCATCGGGCAGGTGACAGGCACAAGGAGGGGCAGCTGTGAGCTGCAGCCGGTGGGCCCACTGGGTCACCCAGCGACGGGGGCCTCACCAGCACCCCGCCCCACCCCCGGCCCCACCTCCACCTGCACTGAACCCCGGGCTTGGGAGACAGTCCTGCAGACGCCCAGGAGAACTCTGGGGTTGGCTGGGTGGACAAGGCAGGGCGCTCCCAGTGCCACTCCCCCTTGCATCAGGTGGGGGTGAGGTATCTGAGGGTTCAAGGGTGAGGTCGGAGGTTTCTAGTACAGAGAGCCCCCCAACCCTGCCCTTCACCAGCACACCCCACCCGAACAGCGACTGGGTCCCCACAAATGCATTGTCCTGGAATTCTGGCACCCCCCCATCTCCTGTCATGCAGCCCCCACCCAGCCAGGCCCTGCGTGAATGGAGGGTGCTGTGGTCCTCACTGGGGCAAAGCCGACCCCACACTCCGGGTCACTGGGGAGGGGAGCCCAGTAGGTCTGGGAGGCCTGACTGGAGGAGGCAGCCTTGACTGGGAGAACGAGGCGGATGCGGCAGGGACAAGCCTTGGGGATGGGCATTCCGGGCAGAGGGGTCACGGAGTGGCACAGCCAGGCCTGGGGTGGGAGAGGACCCAAGACAAGGACTCCCAGGGCCCCCGAGGGCACAGCCCTGCCTGGCCTCCTGCTCCCCACCCCACCCGAGCCCCAGGCCCCGAGCAGGGCCCCGAGGGCCACGGCGGGAGAACGAGCAGCTCCCCGCAATGTCTACAGCTGGGCCTAGGGAACGTCTGGGGCCGCTTCTGTCGGCCAGACCCCCTGGTGCTCCCGGGCCTGGGCTGAGGTGCGGGCCGTCCTACGCCAGGGCAGCCCATGAGCCCGGGACCAGCAGTGACCACTCTTCCCTCTCCTGGCAGGAGGCGGGGCCCGTGCCAGCCGAGGCCTCCTGGGCAAGAGGATCATTGACGTGGACTGTGTCACCGGTCCGGCACCCACACTGGACAGCTGTGTCCTGGGGGTACAGGCGGGCCCCAGGCAGTCATCAGCTGCCAGGCCCCCAGCGTCAGAGCCCCCCACCCGGGCCCCCACCCCAGGGGAGCCCTCCCAGGCGACGGCTGCACAGCAGCACGCCACCTTCGTCTGAGGCTGGCCCCCACCCTGGCCCTGCAACTGGGCTCCCTCTTGTGGACATGCGTGTGGAGGCCCACAGGCAGCTGAGGTGTCCCCAAGGGACCTGTCCCTAGGAATGTCGGAGGGGACCCCTCTGATGACCTGTCAGGAGCCAAACCAGGAGAGGGCTACGGTGGGGGCTGCTGGACCTCACCTGTCTAGCCTCGACCTCCCACCCTCGCTCAATAAAGCATTTTGGGGGAACCGCCAAGTGTCAGGGCTCGCTGGGGAACCGGGGACATAGACGGCACTCACAGACGCTGAGCGTACCACGGAGGTGCTCCCAGGTGCCGAGGACCAGGCTGATGTGGCTGGGGGTGGCTTGGGAGGCGTGAGGGTCAAGGTGGCCCCCTTAGGGCCCACGCCCAGCCCCCTGGGCTGTCACCTTTCTCTGCGCCCCGTGGAGAGAGACAGGGTGTTTCAGGGTCTGCCTCGTTCTGTCCCCCCTCTAAGGTTGCAGCGGATGCTGGGGGGCAGGGCTCAGCCAGGGACATGTGTCCCCAACAACATGGCACTGACTGGTCACTGCGGTCTGCGGCAGTGAGCCAGGCCATCTGACTGGGCAGCAGGCTGGTGGCAGCATCGCTGGCTGACCGTGTCCGGGCTGGCCACTGTGCCCCCCACCCTGCCTTGAGGCCTCTCTGAGCCGCAGTGACAGGAGACCTCAGTGTGTTGGCAGTGGGCAGGGTGGGCGCAAAGGCCCGGCTGAGTCTGACTCAGTATGTCCAGCGCTGAGCAGAGGGAGCCACGGTGAAGGGGGCGCATCAGACAGGTGGCTGGTGGAACCCAAAGGCTCCTGGGCATCTAACCAGCTGGGCCACTGGGGGGCTGCCTGGGAAAACAGGGTAATGAGGAGAGGGGACCACCAGGACACTGAGCACATGGAGGACAAGGATGGGCCCTGGGCAGCCAGGGGTGGGGAGGCCTCTGGGGACCTAGTTGCAAGGAGAGGGAGGCGGAAGGTGGCCCAGTGTCTCCAAGACCAAGGAGGGACTGGGACATGACCTCCCAGGGTCCCTGGCCAGCGAGGTCCCCCGCCCACCCCTCAGGCCTCACCGGCCCTCCAGCTCAGTAAGGTGAGATGTAGGAGAGGACCAAGCCTGGGGCCGGACAGGTGCTCACTAGGGTCCCGGACCTGACCACACTGTGGTTCTGCATTGAGACTGGGTGGCCAGGCTGTCTCTCCTGAGATGGAAGACTACGAGGCTGCTGGCGAGGTCAAAGGGCACCAGAAACAAGGAAGCTGTCATGAGGCCGCCTTGCCCGTGGAGCTGGGCCGGCAGCCAGGGATACTGTGCCAGCATCCGGGGACCAGAGCTGGCCTCGAGGGAGGGGCGGTTAGAGGGGATGAGGAGGAGTTGGGGGGGTGGACAGGAAGCCATGGGATGGGGAAGGGGTCAGAGAGTAGCCAGGATGGGACATGGGGTCTCCCTCCTCAGGAAGGGTAGTGGGGTGCACGGCGAGGCTGCAGTGGAGGCCCCCTGACCCTCAAGGGAGTGTCAGAAGAGCTTGCCCCAGCGCACACATTCTGGGGGCACCCCAACGTCCGCTCACAGATGAGGAGCGAGGCTGGAGCCCCCTGCACACAGACCCAGGCAGGACCCGACCAGGCCACGTGGCCCTTCGCGGGCGCTTGGCAGGAGTTGCTGGGGTGAGGCCAGGCCTCAACACACGGGACGGCACAGAGTCCACTGGCTGAGACAGCTGGGAGGGCTTCCTGGAGGAGGTGTCAGCTGTGTCCAGGAGAGGGGTCAGTGGTTCTGGACCAGGGAAGCACAGAGCTAGGGACAGGAAGGACCCTCACAACATCTCGGGGGTTGTTGGGGGTCCTGGGTCCCCCAAAGTTAAGATAGCCAGATGGAAGCAGCTGTGGATACCCCACCCCAAGCTCAGGCCCAGGGAGTGGAGATTGTCTCCTCCTCGTGCCCCTCGCCCCATTTGTGGAGTGCGGTAGCAGGACTCTTGCCTTGTGGCCAAGCAGGGACCAAACGCTGGAGGCCAAGGGGTCCAGGCCCTCAGCTGTCCTGTCACCCTGGAGGGCTTCCTGGAGGAGGCTCCTGAGCTGGGATCTGGGACGTCGTTGGGGCAGGGCCTCTGGTCAGGGGCAGCAGGTGGCTGTAGCTTGTGGGCCCAGCCGGGAGGCAGCCCAGGGTTAATCATTGCCGGGCGGCCTTGGCCACCAGCTTCCCTGGCTGCTCTGTCCTGTCAGCACCGCTGCCCTTCGGCCGGCTCAGGGGAGCCATGGAGCGCCGGGCCTGGGTCCCCAGCCTCTGCCCTCTGCTCGGGTCACACCTACTCCTGCCGCTGCTGCTGCTGCTGCTGGCGCCAGGAAGGGCCCAGCCCCAGGCCGGTGGGGTGAGTGCTGACCCCTGGCTGGGGACCCTGGCTCCCCATGCCCACTTGGGTCCAAGTCCTTGCACGTCCTCAGCTGAGGCAGACAGCGTCCCCACCCAGGCAGGGGTCAGGTGTGCGCTGGGGCCCAAAGTGGCGGCTGGGGGTGACCGGGGCCTTGTTCAGTGGGTCAGTTGCAGGCCCTGGGAGTTCACCTGGTCCTCAGGAAGCTTTGCTTGACCTACTGGGGTGTAGGGGCCACTCCTCTCGCTGAGCAGCAGGGTCCGAATATGGGGGCGGCTAGGAGCCCCACCCTCAGAACTGGCCCTAGAATCTGACCCTGGTGCCCAGCTGGTGGGGAAGGTGGGACGGGGACCCAGGTGAGGCCTTGGGACGTCCAGTGTGTCCCAGTCCCTGCTCCGAAGCCTGAGGGCTCTGTTTGGAAACCGGGGCCCAGGCTGAGGTGTTCACCCACCAGCCTGAAGGGACACCCCCACAGCCTGACCTAGCCCTGCCCTCTTGGCACCCCCAGAACCATACGCAGCCCCCAGAACTCAACGCCACAGTGACCCCTGGGACCTCCATGACTCCAGTTCCCTTGGTGGCACCCTCAATATCGGGGACACCCTTGACCCCGAGAAGCACTTCTGAGACTGCAGTGGAGGGGGCCCGTGACAAGAGGCCCACCTCCAGCCCCAGGGTGGCCTCCTCAAGCAGCACCGAGGACCAAGGTGGGTCGGGGCGCTCAGGGAGTGGGGCTCAGGGTGCCGGGCGTGGGACACCCTGACCCGCCCTCCCCCCGCAGTGCTCACGGAGAACGGGCAGCCATGCAGGTTCCCCTTCCGTTACGGTGGTCGTATGCACCAGGCCTGCACCTCGGAGGGGAGCGCTCACAGGAAGTGGTAGGTCTGGGGGCCCTGCAGGGTCCATCCAGGGGCGGGGGTCAAGCACAGATCACCAGCCATTCCAAGCGCCTCGGCCACCCATCCCCAGCCTTCACCTCCTCCAGTGGGGAGCCTGGCGGCTGTGTACACCTGTGTGTGCAGAATGCATGTGTGCAGAGAGTGAATGAGTGAGTGGTTGGGAGGATGCCACACCCAGGCTGGGGCCAGGACCCCCATCAGCACAGGCATCACCCCAGGTGTGCCACGACCCACAACTACGACCGGGACCGGGCCTGGGGCTACTGCATCTCCACAGCCACCACGCCTCCGGGCCTTCCAGGTGGGTGCTCCTGGGCGCAGGGCAGCCGAGCCCAGCCAGGTGGGTGCCACGTGGGCATTCTAGCAAGAGAGAGTCCGTGGGGGAAACATCAGGGTTAAAGGAGTCCGCGTGTGGGGCAGAGGGCAGCGCTGGCCTGAGTGGGGCGTGGAGAGCAGGCCTGGAGCAGGGCGGGGACTCGCGGTGAACTTTACTGAAGGCCTGGGGAGGTGTGGGGGTTCGGAGTGTGCAGAACGAGGGAGACGCCCTGCGCGGCTGGGCCATGATCGTGCCACTGCTGAGTCCACGGCGCCCCCTGGCGGTCAGGCCAGCCCCTGCGGCCGAGCGCGCGAATCCTGGACCCGGAATGGTAGGGTGTCCCCGGAGCGCGGCCCAGCGGGGTTTGTGGTGTAGTGGGGGGTCTCGCTCACTCGAGGTCTCCCGTGAGGTGGCTGGAGACGTTTGCCGGGGACCGTGCCGCCTGCCCGAGCGTGGGCAGCCGGCTTCCCCGGCCCAGCTGCAGACCCTAAGTATGAGGGTGGACAGGGGAGGGCGCTGGGAAGAAGGGCCGAGACACCCCCAGAGGCCGTGAAGGCTGGACTGCATCCTTCCAGGGGACTCGCACCCCGAGGAACCCAGGAGTTGAATGCCGGGAGGGTCAGACCCCTGGGCTGCGAGGTGGGGGCCCTGCCTGCCCCCTCACCGTCCGCCTGGTGCCTCCAGGAGCCCTGGACCCCTGCGCCTCCAGCCCCTGCCTCAACGGGGGTTCCTGCTCCAGCACCCAGGAACGCGCTTCCTACCTCTGCTCCTGCCCCGTGGCCTTCACCGGCAAGGACTGCGGCCAGAGTGAGTGCGGGGGCGGGGCCCGGGGCGGGGCCCGGGGCGGGGCCCGGGGCGGGGCCCGGGGCGGGGCCCGGGGCGGGGCCCGGGGCGGGGCCCGGGGCGGGGCCCGGGGCGGGGCCCGGGGCGGGGCCCGGGGCGGGGCCCGGGGCGGGGCCCGGGGCGGGGCCCGGGGCGGGGCCCGGGGGCTTACCGCGCTCTCTGCAGCCAAGTGCTTCGAGGAGACTCGCTTTGAGTACCTGGAGACAGGCGAGCGCTGGGCGCGCGTGCGCCAGGGCCGGGTAGAGCAGTGCGCCTGCGCCGGAGGCCGCGCCCAGTGCGAGGACACTCGACACACAGGTACGCCGAGGCGGGGACCCTAGTACGCTCAGCTCGCCCTCCCAGGTCCACACAGGTCCAGAGAGGGGCGGGACTGGCCCTAAGTCACCCAGAGACTCAGAGCCCCTCTCCCGCGTCCCTCCCAGCTTGCCTGAGCAACCCTTGCTTGAACGGGGGCACCTGTCACCTGATCGTGGCCACCGGGACCACCGTCTGCGCCTGCCCGCCAGGTCACGCCGGCCGCCTGTGCAACGTGGGTGAGTGGCCAGCGGCCACCCCAGTGCAGGGCTCAGGGATGGGGGCTGAGGGGCGAGGGCATCCCCGGCCTCACGGCTGCTCCCACCCCCAGTGCCTGCCGAGCGCTGCTTCGTGGGTAAGGGCACCGAGTACCGCGGCGTGGCCAGCACGGCGGCCTCGGGCCTCAGCTGTCTGGCCTGGAACTCAGACCTGCTCTTCCAGGAGCTGCACGTGGACTCCGTGGGCGCCGCGGCGCTGCTCGGCCTGGGCCCCCACGCCTACTGCCGGTCAGCACGCCACCCCCCAGCCGCCTCTCCCGCGCACAGGGCCCTCTCTCAGCTCCCACCTGGGGCCCAGACCAGGTGGGACAGGCCCACAGCCCTCTGCCCGGGAGGCGCCGGCGCGCAGGGGCTGGAGGGCAGGCCCACACCCAATACCAGTGGTCCCCAGCGGCCGAATGAGCAAAGGCTGCTCCTCCCGGGGTCGCTGCGTGTCCTGGGCCCAGCTCCCCCTCCCCCAGCTCCCCTCCCTGTCTCAGAAGGGCTGTGGAACACCTGCCGCCCCTCTGTGCACCCCAGGAACCCAGACAGCGATGAGAGACCCTGGTGCTACGTGGTCAAGGAGAACACGCTGTCCTGGGAGTACTGTCAGCTGGCAGCCTGTGGTGCGCCAGGGCGGGCAGGTGGGCGGTGGGCAGGCTGTCGGCGGGCACTGCCTTGGCGCTTGTGGAGTGTCTCCCTGAGCCCACCGCGCCCCTGTGAGCTTTCTCTGCTACCCTCATGGCACACCTGCCCCCCTTCTCTTCCTGGAGGACCACCGCCCCACCTGAGGTGGGGAAACTAAGGGTCACAGGTGCCAATGAGTGGCCACTGGGGACAGAGAGTGGAGTGGCCTGTTGGAGGTGGACTGTCACCAGGCAGCCGGCCTCTGGTCTCCAGGGATGCCTGTGTCCAGGACAGCTCCCTGGGAAGGGCAAGTGCAGGCCCAGGGCCATGATGGGACGCCTTGAGGGGGCCAGTCCGCCCTGGGCCCCAGCCTCTCACGTGGGCCTTCGGCCATCCTGGGGTCAACAGGGGGTCCCAGGCAGCCCACCTTGTGTGCACCAGGCCTCTCTGATCCCCACCAAGCCCTGTGTGGGCAGTGCCGCTCCTGCCCACCCCCCCGTCCTACAGACGAGGAATCAGGTCCTGGAAGTAAAGCCAGTGCCCACGAGGGCAGAGCTGGGTCTGAAGTGTGGGCCCACAGTAGCCAAGGGTGGGACAGGAGGTAGGGAGACCCCTGGGAGGTCCGAGGAGGGTGGGCAGCAGACCCCGTCTGGCTGCCTCTGCATCCAAGGACTGGGCTGTGCAGAAAAGGCCCAGCTGTCACCGGGGGATGTGACCCAGCATCTCTACTCCCAGAAGCCTTGGCCAGAAGCCAGCCTCCCCCCATCCCTGCGGTCCTGCTAACCTTGCCTGAGGCAGCGCCAGGGGGACGCCGAGCCTGTGGCAGGAGGCACGGGAAGAGGACCTTCCTCCGGCCACGCATCATTGGGGGCTCGGCTGCCCTGCCAGGCTCCCACCCCTGGCTGGCCGCCCTCTACATCGGGGACAGCTTCTGTGCAGGCAGCCTCATCCACACCTGCTGGGTGATATCCGCCGCCCACTGCTTCTCCAGCAGGTGAGCTGGCCCGGCCCAGCCCCCAGAGAGTGCCAGCCCTCTGCCGTCCCTCCGCCACTCACCCGGACTCCCTCCAGGGCTCACATCCACATGCCCGTCACCACCACCCGCGCCCCGACACCATCCTCTCCACACTCATCCCTTCTGTCCTCGACCCATGAGGCTGTCCTCCCCCCATGCACTCACTCTCCGTCCGCTCCACATCCATCTGTCCACGCACCCCTGTCCACTCCCCCGTGAGGTTGTCCACCTGCCCGTGCCCACCCACCCGTCCATCAACCCCTACACGTATCCACATGCACCACTCAGACATTCACCCACCCAAACCTCCCCAACCATCCATCCACCCACTCACCCGTCTGCCTGTCCTCACGTGTTCCCGCTGAACCACTCACGTGTCCCCACCCCCACCACCTGTGCAGCCCCCATTTTTCGCTCCTACCGTGTTCACTGGTCACCCTCTTTGTCACAGCTGAGAGTCAGCACTCAGCCCTACTCTGGGCATGGAGGTTCCAGAGACCCCCGCCCCACCCCAGGGATCTCCCGCTGCCCAGGGAGGAGGCTGCATAGCGCCCCAGGGGCAGACATGTCTCAGAGGGGCACCCCCAGCCCAGGGCATCAGGCCCAGCTCCAAGGGGGTGCGGG